ATGAACAATATTTTTATATTAACAACAATTTTCAATCACGATTCATCGAATTTAGGGGAAGAATTAATATAAACAATCAATTTTTAGGTAGAATTAATTATCAATAAACTAATTAAATGAAATTCTCTCCATGGAAATATTATTTATTCAATGTTCTTTAGTTGGAGCAACAGGTACTAGTTATTCTTCATTTTCATCTCTTCAATTAATTAATGTAACTGAAAATTAACAGTATGGGAGATGAAATACAGACAAAATTTTCCGAAAACATTCGGTAGAAACTGTCCTCCGTCCTTCACGCCAGATAATTTTATTTTTATTTCAAACCGTCACCTAAATATTTATAATTTTTCCACTGGAAGTTTTTCAAAAATTAAATACTCCGGATAAAATGAGCGAATCGTCAGAAACATGTGCGGTGAAAAAGTGTAGCTTGCTAAAAATCTTAAAATATCTCATTTGATATTAAAAAATATATATATTTATCGTTGAAACGTTCTGAAAATATTTCAAGAATATACGGAATCGCTGTCAAATTATTCAACAGTTCACCCCTCAGAAGTCACAATTGAAGTTGAATAGAAATTCCCGGATTATTCACCCCGACTAATTAACTTTATTAACATTTTCACCGGGTAATTACAGTGATAGTACTGAAAACCCCGGGTATAATAACAAGGCGAGGTAATTCAGATCGTAACGAAGAGAAAAAAATTCAACCAATCGTTTTATTCGGTCTGTTATTCAATTATCCGGGTGTAATTAACTGGCAAGTAGACAGTTGCAAATTGATGCCTCGAGAATGTAAATATACACCGGTAATTTAATTACACGGATGAAGAACCGTCACATAATTGATGATGAAATTACCGCGGGAATTAGCAGCTGATAAAGTAGATTTCCCTTTTTTTCCACAAAAAAAAATTGTTTAATAAAATTGAATATTTTGTTGATACGCAGTAAAAAGACGTGAGGAACTGAACTGAGAGTTGGGGTGGCTAATTACGGACAATTGGGGCAATTAATTTGCTTTCCGTCGATAAGTTTTCGACGGGAATGGCCGCTGGTACATTTTCCTCGGAGATGAGTCTCGGTGTTGCGGGATAAATGAATATTATTTTTACGAGGATACGCAATGAGATTTACCGACTGGGATTGATGAGATAATTAATGAGAATCGGGACAAAGTGAAATTGATTTAGCAAAGCCACCGGATTTTCGTTAATGAAATTAAAACTGTTGTAATGAGTTTAACTATTTTACGTCGACCTGGAATAGATCTCCGTCTCTCTCACCAATTAATTTCACGCTAATTGCTTCTGTATTCCGCGGAGGGATTTTTTTCCCCTCTTGCTGAGGCTCGAGGGTTGATGGATTTTTTTCTTTTGTTAATTGTGGAGTCGATTGGAATATTTTCCTCGGCGGCTCGTCGATTGGGTTTTCATTGTTTTATTGGTTCTTCAGAGTGGTGATTGATTTTTGTCACTGAGGGGTTTAAAATAATAACAAAAATGTGGGATTCCCCTTTTTTGTTCAAAAATTATGTAGAATTGTGAAACATCAAAATTAAGAAATGAATCGATCAACAGATTTTTTTTTGCTTAAAAAACATTTATTAAATTAAATCATCACGAAATTATTGATTAATTTCGAATCCCTAATCACTCGCAATTATTCCGCAACTTTTTGCAATTTTTTCTGAAACATCATCATGGATTTAGTCCCCACGTCCTCCTATCTGTCTTTTTTTTGGCAAAATTGAAAAAAAATAGTTTTTTCAATCGTTCAATCGCTCTTTTAACCAAAATATTTGCTAGGCATGTGTGTAACCTGCTGAAAGTACTTCATTATCCAATTCCTCGAGAAAACGTATTTTTCGTTGGCACTCGGTCGATTCAGATCCGTCGACGTGATCCACTGGTGGTGTAGACGTGACTGGCAATTCAATTGCGGTGCAAATAAAGTTTGTACAGCCGGGAAGAGGGGGGTTAAGGTTAAGGGAATAGGGGGATTGTATCGGGGGTACGAGAATGGGAAAATTCTCAAGAGTATCCCATAGCCGTGAGGGTATATTGAGCGGATACTCCCGGGTGTGACAATTACTGGAATGGGGGTGTTGATGATTTTCATCATTACCGAGAGTATCTCGTGGGTAGAGGAAATGAGGCCTTCATCTCATCCGGAAAGAAATGTTATCATAAATTCGCAGCGGATATCGCGTAATGGAAATTTGCGGAATCGTTTCTGACCGTCAAATTCTAATCGAAATTTCGGTGGATGAAAATTGTTATTTTTTAGGCGCAGATTTATTTAGGGAGAGTTTATTGTACAATTAATTGAATTAACAAATGGGAAATGAGTGAATCGGATTTGGTATTCGTGGGAATTGATTTGTTGTAAAATTAAGTGTAATTAATTATGGAATAAATTAATTTTCATGGTTTTCAGGACTAAATCGAGAAATTGAAAAAAATTTTTAAGATCAATTATTTCCTGATTATTTATTTTTTTGTTTCAATGATCTGAATATCAATGAAGTATTCAATATTTAAATTAAATTATTTTTAATCACATATTTAATGAAAATGTTCATGTATCCTTAAAAGTTTTCTCAAAAAATCTGAGTAATTCCTGAATTTCAAATTTTTCATAGATTTTCTTGAAAATTCCGGGAAAGAATGGCGTAAAAATTCCAGCAAATTCCAAAGTCGCACGACAATTTCAACAACAGATTAAATCTCGATCTAAATTGAAAGTCTCACTATTGAGAATTCTTGCGTTACCGTCTGCGTCACTAAAAAAATCACATCGGCATTACGAGAGTTCTAAAATTTTATCGATCCCTTTAAAATATCAATAACCATCGAAAAACATGCACTACAAACTCTCCCTAATTAATTTAATCAAACGAGTGAACCAGAACTAAAAAGGACAACAATTATTCACTCATTTCTCCCGAAAAATGGATAAAAATTTAGAAAAAACAAAAAAAAAATTGAGAAATGAAATCACGGCTTGCATAATTTCCGCCATTAAATTCTCCTAAAACCTCTCGTCAAGCCGACTAAGGAAAAACCACTCAGGGACCGAGCGAGTTTTATATCCCTATAAACCCCCAGATTTTTTTTTCAATTCCCCTAGTACATATAACCTCCCACTTTAATTAAAACGTGGACGCACAAAAATCCATTGAAAATAACACAATTTCCATTAATGGTATTATATAAATACGGGCTTAAGTCACGTTGAATCCATGAAAGAGATCAAAGCATCCAGGACTGAGGGCTTTTCATGCTCTCAGCCTTCGAAGCTTGTTAGCTAAATTAATACGAATGCTGTAATATGCAAATTGAGATGTTAGTTGGAGGAGGAAATAGAAGTGGCAAAGTACGAGACCATGGGTGAATGTCAGTGGGAAGAAATACTGAGCCAATCTTGGGTGTTATACAGCAGTTGAAGCATCGGATGATAGAAGAAAGATGGGAATTTCTTGCGACGGTATCAATTTGCATTTTAATCTAATATCCGGTAATTATGTACCAAGTATTTCCCTTTTCGTGGTATTCGGCAAGCTCGTGGTACTTATCACTTAAATTGGGCCCTAGGGGGAATTGAATTCGTAAAAATGAGCATTGGTATTGATTAGGTGGCGATAAAGAGCTCATTTGACTCAATTTTAGGGATTGAATTTGAATTTTGACTTTAAAAAATAATGAATAATTTGTTTTTTTATTCCATTAATTGGTCAAGAGGTTATTATTCATATGTTACCTCCCTCTCGCGACGAAAATTCCTTGTAGACGTATACAAAATCCACGTGCCCATGCAATACGTGTTACGATAGGACAAGTGGATTCCCTGTTTCTCCGTGGTCTGTACTGAGGAGTAAGAGGAAGACCAAGCCTTGAAGACCCAGCTGTACGTACAGACTCCTCTGGAGAAGAGACAATCACACATCGACGAGTGCTATATGGTGTCAGTTAACAGGGTCATAGCAAGATGGAAGGTGCGGTGAATCAGGCAGGGTCAGATGTTAACGACAGTATTGTGGAAAATGTTAATAAAACGGCAACACACAAGCCAGCATCGCCCGAGGGCATGATCTTGGCTTATGGCAGTCTCGTTATCATGGCGATCCTGCCGATTTTCCTGGGGAGCTTTCAATCGGTTAAACATCAGAACGAACAGCAGGTTAGATTTTACCGCTGTTCGACAACAATTCCATCATTACCATATGGAATGGAGTTGCCAATAAGGAATTAGCATTTCTTCCCATTGCTTCCCAGGATTTTCCTGTGACTTTATTGTTCCTCCGGGTTATTCATTCGTTTATGCATTTCCGAAATTTCCCCTTAGGGTTTTCTTGGGGGAAATTCAACTTTGCATTGAAGCACAAGAGGTTGCTGTCCAAAAATTTGAGAAGAGCAATGCCGAATGATACAATTTCATCGGATTGACGTGCACGTGGAGGGCTCTCCACGTGAAATCGAGAATGGCCCTAATGACACTCCAGTCCCTTGAATTTTCGGAGGAATATCGAACACATTCTCGCGGGGGATTACCAATGTATTGAGGGTTAGGGAGGTGTGTGCTCGCCCACTGTTTACCGTGCACGTGCCTCGTGTAATCCGATTGGGATAGCATTACTGCAGCATCAACGATGCATAAACCTCCGGTTTTTTTTTTATTTTCATAAAAAAAACTCCGGTACGAACGTATTTCTATCAGAGAATGTAAAAAAATCCACGACAAAAAACCCCATCGCCCCAATATTTCCCTGGTAGATACAGCTGAAGGAATAATTACACTCCTCTGAATTCATGATCGTACTCTTCATTCCAGAATTTCTCCCCTACATTCATTTCCCGCTGCATTTGGAATGATTGCATCCCGGGAAAATGTTTCTGTAATTCGTTAAAGCTCTCTGCAATTTTAATTCTCTCATTCTCTCGGGAAAAATGTGCAGAACCTTTTAATATCGTTTTCTTTATTCATTTCAGATGGAGGCAGGTGCGATGGCAGGTCACACGTGAGTTTTCACCATAAATACCGTAATAATGATTTATCCTGGAATTTATCCCGGAGGTGTGCGAATAGCCGATTAATCGAATGGAATTGAACGGTAATTTTTTAATAATTTCTATTGAATTTTCCAATAATTCGAAACATCAGATTATTCAATTTATTTTGAAAAGGTTCTCGTAATTATTGCGAATTTTTGATGATTTTCGGATAATTGAGGAATCGTTTTATTTTCAGTATAATTTTTTATAATTACTTCAATTCCCTTCGAATTGCTTGGAATATTCGCGCGTCTAATTTATACGAAATATCCCCTGCGAGTTGCGAATATTACATACCAAAATGGCCAGTAATTCTGGGGGACATTCCACTGGTTTAACGACTAGAAACCTATAGCTCGGTGCTGGCATTATCTTCGCGCATGATGTAAATCCAACCCCTGGTGTAAATACTTGGTTCACGCTTGTGCAAGCCACCGACAATTCGCCAACGTCCCTTTGAATTTTCTACTGTGAATCCCACGTCAGGATTCTTTGTGTGATATTTTTTATATTTCACACTATTTGTTCTTCCTCAGGATTTACCGTCCGGGATTTTTCCAGGTTACATACCGGAAATTTTAGAGGGCGATAAACCGACTGTTTAGTTATTTTCCACAGGAATTTTATTCGCATTCACTGGATATTACTTGATAACTGCCGTAATTCTTAGATAGCTAGGGGAATCCCGGAAGCTTATAACCCTCATATTTATCGAATTTAAATCGTAAGGTAGAGGAGGGTAAAATGGAGCAACCCTTTTTAATATTTTCGAAGTTTTTGCCTCATTTTTTATAAAGATGTAGGGGTGGAGTAATTGATTTGTTGATGCGTGTTTAAATTTCATATTTAATTAATTAACACGGAGTTTTTATTCTGTATACTGCATTCAATTGATAAATCCTTAAACAATTATAACGAATTTCTGATTAACGTTAAACATTATTTGCGTGAAGCAGAAATGAATGGTTTTTTATAATCTCGACGAGTCAGTTCGGGAGAATTGAAAATAAAAAATCGTGAGAGGGGCGGAAGTCCATTTTGCCCTCCTCTCCCCTAATTGACAATTCAGATAAGGTTTTGAAGAGAAATTTCTAGTCATTATGCCTTTCTAACAAAATAATAAGTAAATCATGAATAATAATAATAATGAATGATAATGAATGGAAATAAAAATCATAAATTCAAAATTGATGAAAAATATTGCGAAAATATTGATAAGATAAAAATATGAAAATTGATAGTTAGAGTTTATGACAGTTTAAAAATATCTATAATGGAAAATTTCTTTTGCACATGCGTGCTGCCTACATTATCGAAAGAGTCCATCATGTGGGTGACCGCATGGAAAGCGTTGAGTTTTACCACCACAGCTTCATGTTGTTGCACTCGTGTGTAGATTTTCACGATGGCACAACAATACACGCAATCACGACACGCGATAGCGATTAATCGCAACGAAGATCGATGCGACCTCTTGAAACTCCCGCGCATGTAGTCCACTTTCCGTATCGCGCGTTCCAAATCCACCGGATGGATTTGGGAATCCCCGAGCAATGAGAATAGACCGGAAAGGAACGAATGAGATTGCAATGGCCATCTTTTCTTCTCCAACTCGTGCACTCGCACTTGCTAAAACATTAATAACTTTTTTTTCCACTGAATTGTTTTTTTTATCTTCCGCTTAACCGCTGTAAATTCAGACGATAAATTCTTTCTCGTAATTACTAAATCGATAGACATGAATGTATAAATTCGCAACTTTTTTTCTCCACCTCCGGCTTTACTTACTCCGGCGAGAATTTATTGTTGGGAAAGGGAATGAGAAGCTCGATACATTAGATATGCGCATTAAAATTTTCTTGAACATCTCCATCTGCTCCATAAAATGATTTTGAGCTACGCCAAATGCAATTCATTCCGATATTCGACTCTTGAGAAAATTCGGGAGTTCATTTCACCTCGATCTATCGTTTCCGTATTTTTACATAATTAAGGGTGTTTCAGACCCACATATAGCTATAATTAACGTTTTTAAAATTTTTTTGCCAAACTTAGTATGAAATTGACATGAAAAAATACAATGATTTTGCGTTGTCATTATTTAATAACTCACCGGTGGAGGGAGGGGTTCCCGTTCGGTTACGGCATCAGATTCATCAATTTTATGAAGTTTTTTGATTAAATTTGAGTGAGACTACGTGAAAAAAGTGTTCACTGCCCTTGGAGTGAAGTGTACTCGGGCTGGAAACGTTATCTTGGCACCAGGTAACATATTACAAGGAAACGAGCATGAATTGGAGAACGCGTAGGAAGTGAGGTTAGAGCGTCGATGCAGTCGTATTCAAACCCCGGGTTTAACCAGTATCTCACCACCATATCTCTCTGCGTTTCAACGCAGACATCATCTGAAATGGACTGGTAGTGGTGGAAAAATGGGAAGTGCTACTGGTGATCCTGTGGGAATGGCTTCAGTAGACACAGAAAGCATATTTGGAACTTGGAAGTGCTGATGGAATTCTGTGGTAATGGAGGCATCAGAAAACAATTGGCAGAGGCGTAAAATTGGGAGTGCTATCGGTGCAACTGTGGGAATGTACGAGGCAGCCATAGGAGGCGACAATGAAATTTAGGAAGTGTTGATGGGGTCCAGTGGCAACGGACCCACAGCGGGGTCGTAGGAGCAGGATAGGAGCAGTATCAGAAGGGACCATCGAAAATGGACACGTCTCCAACGCATACTACGCTTCTCAATTGTCGAAGATTTTCTCAAATTTATGGGAATGTCTTTAAAATGTTTCTTAACCTATTAAGTGCTTTCTTACTCAATAATTGTTGAGGAGGAAAGCGACGAGGGCGTGCACCTGGGTTTTTTTTCTGTATGTGGTACTATAAAGGTGTATGGTTATGGTTATGGTTAAGATACGGATAGGCATTTGCCCCCCTCTTGCCACCGAACCCCTACTGAGCTATTGTGGCTCCGTTTTCCTACTGATCCCTATATTTCTAGGCCAGCTTTTCTCACCAGTTCTAGTAGATTCCCGGCGTCTAGGTCCGCTACGTAGCTGATGCTAGGGAAGACGGTTCCCCAGCAACTTAGCCTTGTTGTAGCCAGTGCAGGGCAACTGCAAAGTATATGCAGGCTGTCCTCGTCTACCTCAAGGCAGAATCTGCAGCGGGCATCGCTTTCGATGCCCATGTTTTTGCAGTGTGCCCTAAACCTACCATGTCCAGTGAGGAGCCTGATTGTGGTGCTCAGTTCCTCTCTTTTCATGTTGAGTAGCTTTTCTGCCCTTTTCTTGTTTAGGGTTGGCATGAGGGCTTTGGATTTTCTGCAGGTTGTGATCTGCTTCCATCGCCCTTGGTGTTCCTTCCGGAGTTTGTTTTTAATTTGAGTCATTCCGGTAGCGAAAGGGACTCCCACTGTCACGACCTGGTCATCATTTGACGCCCCATGTCTTGCCAGTTGGTCCGCTATCTCGTTTCCTTTTATCCCTTTGTGGCCCGGGACCCATGCCAAAGTTATTTTATTGGTTGCCTCTAGTGCTTCTATAGCTGCCATCGTCTCCCAGACCAGCTTAATTAGCATAAAACATAAAGGTGTAAAATCAGCATAAATCAGAAAGGCAATAAATTATCTTGAATCTTGAATGTCTCACTAAGTTTTATGGTGTTGCTAACACTTTTTTGCGTTTTTTTTTCTAAACATTGAAAAAGAATCAAAGAAGTGTAGAGAAAATGCATGAGAATGATTGCCTCCACCAGAAAATTTTGTGAGCCATAAATGATGACAACACGCAAATACGTTATATTTTTTTACATTAATCCTATCGATAATTTACTAAATGATTTAAAAAACGTAAATTTTGGCTATATATGGGCGTGGAACATCCACAAAAAAAATCAAAATGTCATATCCCGTATACATATGCAAATTTATCGAAAACCGCATGATGCCGAGGGTGAATATAATTCGAATAAAGAAAAAAAGTATTAAAAATAACAAAAAATCCATAAAATAATAAAAAAAAAATAAATTATGGTTTCGCCCTATAAAAATGACGTTTGGCACTAAAATCGGTGAGTCGTATTGCTGGATGCCCCGTCCGTACGATCCAAAGAATCGCATAAAATCGCTAATAAAAACTCATCGTATATCATGTCTCCTCGATAAATAAATAAATTTGAAAAAAACTAAAGGCAAAATCAACATTGTCAAGACACCGAGTAGCAATTATTATTGCCTCAGGTGCGGTTTCCGCACTATTTTTTCATCTCGAAATAGAAACACATGCACGAGCAAAAAAGTAACACGGAATATCAAACAAGTGCGGACGATTTATTATCCCAGTCATTCATAACTGTTTTTCAGACGTGCAGGACACCCTTTCACGATTTCCATTGTTCCCATCTACCGGCAAAAAACGACAAGAGAAAAAAAATATTACAATACGTTAATGCACTTTGTGACATGAATACAACGTTATCTACCCCGCCCCCACTTTTTGTTCTTATCGTCGATATGATAAATCGAGGAGAGGCACAATATTGGGTCATGATCTCGGGACGTGGGTCAAATTTCACTCGATTTGACCATTTTTTCCCCTGCCTTAACCCCTGGCTATCTACTCCGTTAAACTCATGATTTTTTTAGAGTATTAATAAATTATGCAAAAGCTGTACCCCAATGAAATTTATTATTAAACAAGTTGAGAATTGTTTTCAACGTCAAAAAATCTCACGGTAAATGAATTCTCAAGTTTATCGAAAATAGAGTTCAACTCTCATTTATCGAATTGCTATTAATGCAAATTACTGTCTAGCCATGGAATTATTGAGACTCTACGGGGATAATTGAAATTATCTATGCTGTTTTCAAAGTTTTATACAACGCATTTTAATCGAATATCTATAACAATGATGTTTTTTGCTTTGGCGAAAGTCAGCGATACAACAAACACGCAATTTC